TCTGCCACTCCCCCCCCATCCTCCTGGCTAGCCCCGCGGCCCCCGGACACCCCTCCTACCAGCTCTGCTTCCCGCTCCGCCCCCCTCCCGGCCGGTCCCTCCCTCACCCTCTCCGCCCATGATCAAGTGTGTCCGTTTTTTTGGCGGGGTCTACCTGGTAACCCTACCACTCACCCCTGTTCTAAAGTATCTATTTCAGGCTTAATTCTTGATAATGGAATTCAATAAAGAAACAAAGATCTGACTAACTATGACCTTAACTGTGCTTAGTTCTACACAACCCCCTCCCGGCCGGTCCCTCCCTCACCCTCTCCGCCCATGATCAAGTGTGTCCGTTTTTTTGGCGGGGTCTACCTGGTAACCCTACCACTCACCCCTGTTCTAAAGTATCTATTTCAGGCTTAATTCTTGATAATGGAATTCAATAAAGAAACAAAGATCTGACTAACTATGACCTTAACTGTGCTTAGTTCTACACAAATTCTGGTTACGTAGCTGAGATAAACCTGGCTATCTGGTGTGACAGAAAGTGGTTGGTAAGGATCTCGAGCTACATGGGGCTCAACATTGGGAGGGAAATATAATTAGCATAGAGACCCGATCTCTTGGGATATTGCACTGCAATGCAAATAACTCTGAGGCTTTTGTTGTTAAATGTTGCTATTTTATTTTCCATTGTTACTATAATAAAAACTTACATCACTATGTTATTTGGAATTGTAATGAGGATTCTTTTGCAAATCTCTGATGCAAATCTGAAGTGTTATTTTTATCCTATAATATTGAAAATGTATGTGAGGAGATTTTCAAAGACCCTACATGGTGTTAGCCCTCTTCCCCCCCTCCCCGCCCCCCAGTTCTTCTTGTCTTTTTGGTGGGAGTTAGGCTTCCAACTCCTAAGGTGTTTTGTTTCAGTGGTTTAACAAAACACTCAATATTCAAAATGACATGCATACATTTGCAAACTGAAAAGGGCTACTGTTGTGATTTGCATTCTGATTCTGGTAACATAACATGTCAGTGATACACCAAGTGTTCTGTGGTTTGTCCAGACTTGGGACAATATTAATGGCCATTTAAAAATAGCTTTCAGTGAATTCATTCTGCAGTTGCTGCTGCTAGTTGGAGTTTTGCTTTAGTTTGACTCTTAGCAGCTCAACATTACTTAGGAGAGGAACTTTATATGTGTGCTGAGCTTCTCAATGAGGTCAAATGCAGGGCAGCCAGTCATTTTATGCTGTCTAGCCCTGTCAAATTGTCTTACATGACTATAATACTGCCTTGGTTGCATAAGTAAGAAAGCTGAAAAGATATAAATGTCAAGATAGCCAAGTTCCCACGGAAGACTGGTTTAGAACTGGAGCTTATATTAAAGCTCATGTTACTCAGTGGCCTAATTAAACCAGACAAGCCTTTATACCTGCCAAATGTATAAATAAAGTCTGCCACTGCATTGTGCTGATACAGCCCCTTGATAACGGTCATTTCTTGTCAGGTGTTTACTTCTCAAAAAGGGTTGGTGTGGGATGGGGGCACCTGTGTAGTGATGAATGTTTAAACAGCGACAGATTATATAAAGGCATGTGAAATTTATTTTGCAACCTGAAAGAATGATTTATTTAAGGTATTAAATGGTATAGAACTCGCATCTCATCAATGCAACCATCACCTTTTATGCTTCTCATCTGAAACTTCAGCAGTAGCTGACATTTGCATTGTTTTCTTGTGAAAGTCTGTTCTAATTTGCACTGATATACCCAAATCAGTATATTTTTATTCTTCTGATCTTTCCCCATAATCTTTTATTTAAACTGCATCTTTTCTGAAGCAAATATACTTGGCAGGGAGTAAGTATAACAATCGCTTTTACATTTTAGGAAGAGACCCAGACTCTCTAGAAAAGCTGTTGAAATCCAAGTGGGGAAAACTGCTGGGACCAGATTATGAAGTCATGGTATGTTATCCTTCAATAAAGTACACTCATTTATGTTTCTTTAAATTCCAGTGCTGTGAGCTTAACTTTACAAGCTGTTCAGGGGCTGGAACGGATCAGTAGAGTAGCATTTTTTGTTTTCCTTGAACAATCGAGAATGAAATATAGGGTTGTTATAATGAACACATTTTTGTTCTGTGTATATCTGTAGTATTGCATAAGTGTGAGTAACTTTTTTTTTAAATCAACCTCAGTTTTAAATTTGTAACTTAGACAATTAAAATATTTTGCATTTGTATGATTGTTTTTATGATCAGTTTGTTTTATTGTACATTTAGAAAAGGCTCAAAATATGAGCTGCATTTTTCACAATTAATCTTACATTTTTATGAGAAATATTATCAAATGTATTTCATGGAAAAGGAGGTAGTTCAAGTTGGGAGTAGGGTTGCCAGGTTTCCAGTTTTCGTCCAGACCATCTGGTATTTGTGTCTCCTGTCAGGTTAAAAAACCCAGAAAATACCGGACATATAAATGTTTTTCTTGGACAAAAGGCTGGCGGGGACATTCTTCCCCTTCCATGTCTGGCAGGGGGAGCAGGGAGCGTGGTGATTTAAAGGCGCAGTTACCTCTTTTTAGTCTCTCTTCCCCTCCCTCCCCTCACCATGTCTGGGAATTTTTGTGAAAGTATCTGGCAACCCTAGTTGGGAGGGGAAAGGGGTAACTCTGTGGTGTTAACATCCCATTAGATTTTTCTTCACTTCTTATTAGAGAATTGGTGAGGAAGAGATTGATTCCTTTTCTAAATACGAATCATCAGAAGGGGAATGATTTTTTTAAAAAAAATTCATTACAGCCTTTTAAGATTGTGCTAACTAACTAATGCATTTTAAATAAAACATTCGAGCCAATATCCTTTTCTGAAGCCCTTAAAAAAAAAACTATATCAGTGATACATGTCCTCTTGATTCAGAGGCTGTGTCTACACAGCAGGGCTTAACTTGAAATACATCAATTGCATAGCTTATTTTGAAATTGGGAGCATCTACACAGCACTTATTTCGAAATAGAGCACTCTTCCTCCAACTTCCCTTACTCCTCGCACAATGAGGGTTACAGGAGTCGGAGTAAGAAGTCCTCCAGCTTTATAGTGTTTTGATATTATTTCAAAATAACTGCCTGCTGTATAGATGCATACTGTTTTGTTTTGTATTTTGTTTTTTTGAAATATCATTGCTGTGTTGACATTCTCAGAGATGCTTACTTTTACTGTTTGGTAGGACGATCACTCCAAATGTCTTGTGGGAATATTTAAAGTTGCATTAAGAGGTGTTTTTTCAGAATTCTCTTCTCTGCGATGCATTAATATTCCTTTAAAAGCTTTGAAGTCTATGTAAGACATTTCCCAGTTTGTGAGAAGCTCAGTGGGCCAAATTTTCCTGTCATTGTAGCACATGGAGTTGTGATCGTGCAAATATAAAAATTTGGCCCATCTGAACAATAGCAAGTCATGGTCAGACCAGCACCTTTTTGAGTCTGTTTTCTTCCATTGCGTATGCCTCCCTTCATTTCTGAATACCTTGCTTTACCATAGCACACAAATTGGTTTGAACCTGACAACGCAAAATCCTTACCTAGTCCTTACTGTCTCACACAGCTCCCTTTAAATCAATAGGGCAATTAAGAGTTTGAAGGATTGAGCCCCTTCTGATGATTTATCAGCCACCAAGTCCTTCTGAGGTGAGGAGCTAGTTACTGAGCATGGGATTTAGAGTTATCACCACATGCCAAGTCACCAAACTGGGCCAAGACCTTCATAAATGAATGAAAAAGCATAATTTTCTTCTCCCCCTATTTTACCGTCATAAGAACGGCCATACTGGGTCAGACCAAAGATCCATCTAGCCCAGTATCCTGTCTGCCGACAGTGGCCAATACCAGATGCCCCAGAGGGAGGGATCACAACAGGGAATCCTCATGTGATCCCTTCCCTGTCACCCACCTCTGGAGAAACAGAGGCTAGGGACACCATTCCTACCCATCCTGGCTAATAGCCATTGATGGATCTAACCTCCATGAATTTGTCTAGCTCTTTTTTTGAACCCTGTTAAAGCTCTAGCCTTCACCACCACCTCTGGCAAGGAGTTTCACAGGTTGACTGTGCGCTGAGTGAAGAAAAACTTCCTTTTGTTTGTTTTTAAACCTGCTGCCTATTAATTTAATTGGTGATCCCTAGTTCTTTTATTATGGGAAAAAGTAAATAACTTTTCCTTATTCACTTTTTCCATACCAGTTATGAATTTATAGACCTCTATCACATCCCCCCCCCCTTAGTCTCCTCTTTTCTAAGCTGAAAAGTCTGTCATCTGTTGTCATATTCAGTCCTCTGCTACAATCCAGCATTCTGTGAAAGGGTGTGTACTAGTACTATTTAATTGTCATGGTGTACAATTTTTAGGTGGTTTGTGTGGACATGCCAATTACAGATGATGCTGAGCTCCAGAAATATTCAAAGGTATGAATTCTTATTTCATGCGTGCTTTTTTTTTTTTTTTTTTCCAATGGGCATGAATCAAAATCCTAGGTATGAATACTTCTGAAATAGAGATATAGGGGAAAGTTTGGGCATTGGCTTGAGCCTCAAGCTTATTCCTCAGAGAAATACTGCCACTTGTTGCCAATGCTGATCATGCATTTTGGGTCTGAGTTCCTTCACGCACTTTTAGTGAAGGAAAAAAACCCACATCGGAAAAAAGGCCATTTAGAATGTCCTAAATTTCATCAGACTCTGATGGACAAGTGGGGAGCATAGTGTTCAATAATCTAGGGCTCTTCACTTCTACATCTGGGACTACTGGCTTAAGTTCTTTAGCTGATGCTAGGTACTGGGATAGAGTTGGAGAGAGACAAGAGTGGCATCTTGATTAATACCCAGAAACCAGTGCAGAGTATGAAGCAGATTACACTGACTACAAGAAACTTTTTGCTAGGTAAGGTCCTCATGCTGTAAGAGATTTGTAAGTATGGACTCTAGAGTAATAAGACAATGGGACTCCATTCAGTATGAGATCCTAAATGAGCATCTGTCCAGAAGGAGCTGTGGTACCAGCAAGAGCGCCAAGTTGTGAACTTGAGTGATAGAATGCAGGTGAAGTTCCCGAAACAGATGTTGTCTCTGTTAACTTTGTTTCTTCACAGCCTACCAGTTTGTCTGGATTAAGCCTCAGCTAGTCTGCTCAAAGTTTTCCTAATCTTGAAGCAGATATTTGCTATGTAGAGTTTTTTGCTATGTAGAGTTTTTTTTACTAGACAGGAATACAGTATAAGGTTGTCCCGGGGGGAAATGGCCAGCACAAAATTAACAAAATTCCTTGTGGAAATAAGGATATAAGTGACAGCAGCTATTTGCAAAAGATGCTTCAGAGAGATGTTCACTGCTCCCAAAGACTGGTACAAATGTCATGAAGAAATGTGATGACTGACTATATGGTTAGGTTTAATTTGCTTCCTCTGAAATAGCGATTATGATCTTGTGACAGATGTGGCAATTTCCTGCAATAGTCTACATTGACTTTATTAAGTTTATGCATTATTGTAGGCTGGGATTGTATGTAATCTCTCTAGGAGGAAGAGATGTGACTGATGTAAAACCTGGATGTTCAAAACAATGTATTGATAATATCCGTGGACTTTTGGGACAATATATTTTAAGTAGATTTCTTGAGGAATACCTCTGGGGAGATTAATGTACGTTCTCTGGTTATGCAAATAGCTTCTCAACTATAGGTATGTCCAGAGGCAAGGGTCTCTGAATGCCAAAATAAAAAAAGGCCAAGCTACATAAAGAAATGGCTGATATATGCCCAGCCTGAGTTTTGGTTCTCAATGCAAGGCCAATTTGAATTTGTGCCCATGGGGGAAAACAGAGTGGTTGGTTTTGAAAAACTAAAACCTGCCAGAGCTCTATGCTGGAGTTCAGTGTGTTTTAGTATATGTGTAAGAACTTATTATTTTTAATATATTTTCTCTGCTATGCTTTTATCTTATGAATTAATGTACTTGCTTAGGTGTCTATAGCCCTTGGATAATGAAAAAAAGGCATAGGTGCTAGCCTTTTTAGGCAAGCTGGCTTGCTGGGGATGTCACAGTGGAAGACACAAATCCCTGGTGAGGAGGTTGTGGTCTCCACCTAAGAGAATGATGACAGGGAGCTAGAAGCCTAATGAGTTCCCTTGATTTAACCATGGAGGGGGAATACAGTTGCCTTTACCCTGAAACTGTCACAAGTAAAATATTCTTTTTGGACACAAATTTAGTGGAGAGTAGCTCAATTTTTAGACAGAGGATACATTTTAGATGCTCTTTTTAGAGATGGTCTTATACACTGACCTCTCTTCTCCCTCCCCTCCTCCCTCCCCCCTTATCACTGTAGTGATATTGTTAAGAAGATAGCGATGTGCAATTTTCTAAAAGACAGACTGTACAAGTTAAAAATAGCATCTAAATAAATATAAAAAATAGCAAATTTGTGTGATGCAACCCTAGTTATGTCAGTTAGAACTTAAACATGCTAATATGCAGGTAGTTTAATTTTAACTGGTCATTTATAGAATGTTAAATGTATTGTTACATGTTGAAATACACATTTTTAAACATAGCCACTGCTTATTTTTTGGCAGCTATTGCCTCTTCATACTTTGAGGTTAGGAGTAGAACTCGATACATTTGATGGACATCATTACATATCTTCAATTGCTCCAGATGGTCCAATTGCTACTCTTGGCCTACTACAACTGGAAGATGAACTTCTAGAGGTAAAGACCACAGAACTAAAAATGAAGTGTTCTTTCTGCTCACCTTCTTGAAAAATATGCTTTTATGAGATTTTAGGCTGGTTAATGCATGTGCACAATAGTATCTTTTAAACAATTAATGGGTAGGAGGAACATAGGGTTAGGAGTTGGAAAAGCTGGGATCTGTACCATTCTAGCTCTGCCAAAGGCTTCCTGTAAGATTAGGGAAAAGTCCCGTAAATTGTGGTTTTGTCTGGATGTGGAACAAAAATGAGGCCTTTCTTGTGTGGTGTTCTGCCAAACAGCACTACTGGGCTGTAGAGTTAGGCTATTTATGCTCACGGCAGCATGTAAAGCACAGACATTACATGTGTAGTTACATACAGCTGGGGAAGCAGTGGGGAAATGGCAGTGCAGACACTTATGCACTGCCTCCCCTCTCCACTGCTATTGATACTTGTGCTAGTTGGCTGTTCAGAATCTGTAGTCTATACACTGCTGTAATACAGATGTACCTCCAGTGTCTCTCTGTGTCTCTCTCTCCCCTGTGGAAATTGTTCTGTTTTGTATGAATAATCTTTAGGCCAGAAATAAAGACTCATTGCTCCATAGGGAGGATGCTCACTTGAGATACAGGAGACTCAGATTCAAGTCCCTGCTCTGAATCAGAGTCTTCCATGTCTCAGGTGAGTGTCATATTGACTGGGCCATTGGCTGTTCTGAGGAATCTCTCTCTGTCTCTGTCTCTCGTATATCCTGAAACATTTTTCTGATGCAAGTTTTATTGAAACAGAAATGCTTCTGTGACATGCTTCTTTTTTGTCACTCAGCATTTCCCCAAACAATAATATATTGTGGGGAAACTCCTGACAAGCTCTGCTGACTGTATATCTCTTTCATTGTATTACAAAGTTGAGAGGAAGATGGTAGGTTCCTAAACACCATATTTAAACTACTAAAGCACAAAGGAAAGGGGGAAGAATTGAGGGAAAGTGATGATTTTGGAAAGCAGAAGTATGTGATATGATATGATAAATGGGACATGAAATCTTAATGAAACCAAGCTAAATTGCAATGCACAGAGATGGAGACAAAGGAAATGATATTGGACAGATCTTGACTTCAATAGTTGTATGCACAGCAGTAAGCACTACTTGGTAGCTGTAAAATCTAATTTTTTATTAGGTCATTGACAGTTGTTGAAATTCTGCATTCTTTGCGTTGTAAAAATATTACATATACTACCAAGTGTAAAACCTAGATTCCTTATTTATTTGTGGACGCTGCCAATTGCTACATTGAGAGAGGGTGGAAAATCCTTTGTATTTAGGTTGCTTTAAAAAAAAGTATAAGTGCAATAAGACACTTGGAAGGGAATACTATTTTACATAAACACCATCCATCTGTGTTATAAAATTCACTAGCAATTGCATTGAGGTCTTCTGTTATCACCAAGCAACTAAAGTTTATGGGATAAGGCTTAACTTGTTGGGACTTTCTGCTGAATTGCTGATTGAAATTGCTATTCCTTTTATTGTGTAAAACATTTCTACATAATCTCTCAAGGATCTAGCTAATTTGATCCACTTCACCATAATTTTAAAGCCTGCAACAATTGTTGAAGTTTGGATTTGGTGCATTTGATTTAGAACTGCTCAGAATCTTCCAGACTTTGAAATTTTGGTCAAATGTTTCCTCAAACTCAGTTTTTTTGTTGTTGTTTTTGTTGTTTTTAATGAAAGAACATAAACTGACTCACCAGAGCATTTTGGGACTTTAAATCACATCTACTTTGGCCTTCAATGTGTAATGTGCATTTGAAAATTATTTGGTGATTTGTGTGATAGGCACATGCCCTCCAGGAGTTTGAAATATGTCACCAAAACCATCATTCTTAATTGATCCTAACTGGTATTCTTGTTGGCAGACTTGACAGAGAAACCACAAATCTACTTGGGCAAGGAGAATCTGTCCCATCCAGCACATAATTCAGGCACAGGTGGGATGGTGGGCAGGAGATTGAACTGCTGTTGCCAATGGGATGCCTGTTGATGAAAGGAGCACTTCAGTCTTGTGGGCTGTCAAGCCAGCAGTTTATACAGGCACTGAAAAGTGCTTAATAAATAAAACGTTCTGACGTTAGGGCTAATTTCTAAAAGCACTTTAAACTGGAGTCGAGTACTCAGTTTTCCATTGGGGGATGTTGGGAATAACATACCTGGAAAGGACCCAGAGAGAATGACTACCGTGGTGAAGGGGATAAGACTAAAATGCCTGCTGTAGAAGGTGCTGAGACTAGAAACACGCAGAGGGCAGGAAATGCATGAAGGGAATCTGAATAGAACAGGAGACTTGGATCACCACTATGAAATAATAGTAAAGTCACCAGAATCCAGAGATGGAAAAACAGTCTTACAGTAATTTATGTATATTTTAGGGGTTACATTAACCAAACCACTCAAGCTTTCCTGGAATCCCTCAGTGAAATTAGACCTTTATATATAGTTGTGGAGGACAATTATTGTAAATAGTTTAATGGTTTAATGTAAACAAGAGAATATTTATTATTGCAGAACCTGATCAATATCCTTTTAAATATCTGAATGGGGGTGCATGTTTTCTCTTTTGTGTCTAGGTAAATGGAGTTCAGCTTTATGGGAAATCCCGCCGTGAGGCAGTTTCTTTTCTTAAAGAAGTGCCACCTCCATTCACTCTGGTTTGTTGCCGGCGCCTGTTTGACGATGACAGCGAGACCTTTGTGGATGAGCTCCCCACTGTCAAGGTTCCGTTTCCCGAGCCAAAGGTAGTGATTGTGTAGATCAGTTGGATAAATGTTCAGTAACTTTCTAAAGACAGTGTTTTGGCTTTCCTCTTGTTTGCTTCAACCATTCTCAGCTGTTTAAAATAAAATGTCTGAAATCCATTTGCACGGGTATGTATGCTAGCTCTTTGTACCCAGCTGTCTTGTAAAATGGTCTTTACATCTCATCGCTGTTTCATGTGGAAATGCTAAGCAGCTTAAAACATGTGAGAAATCCGATTGGTAAGAAGAGGGATTTACTTTGTGCTTTTGTAGGGTCATCATTTATAATCATTAACAAAAGCTCATCTTATTTACTGAGGGGTGTCCGTGTGCTTAGTGCTGCTGGAAACATTTAAAAAAAGGTAACATCTGGTTCTTGTCCATCGGTGTTTCTAATCACAGTAAGATAGTCATCACAGCTCTGCTATCGTAATACAACCAAGTGATAGGATTCAGCCCTGATAGACTGATTTGTCGAAGTTGTTAATTTTGTTCAAATTGCTTTGTTATGACTGATGTCATAGGTGATTGGTCAAACACCATTGAGTCCTCTTCTTTCTTCTTCCTTGCATTAATCCAGTCAAATGGTGTCTGCTCTGAGTTCTCTCCCTCCAGGTCCCTAGCCTCTATCTCGCCTCATGCTAACATGTCTTCCTTTATGACAGGGATGGCCAAACCCACTATCTTTCCAGGCCACACATGACAATCTTCAGAAGTTGGAAAGTTGGAGTGTGCCTGCTGGGACTCTGGGCCTCAGCCCTGCAAAAGATGCTTATTGGGGTATCAGCTATGAGCCATGACAGTAGACTTCAGGGGACTTTAAAAGACAATGCACATGGGGTGATGTGCCCCTCCTCCTGACATATGCCAGTGTTTGTTGGCCTGACCTGACTATATGGTGCTGCAGGACCCATTCACTAGAGCCAGCAAGCTGGGAACAGTGGCTGTGGGGCAGGGCAGCAGCAAATAGCTGAGAGCTGTAGGAAGAGGCTTATGAGTGTAAGAGATGAGAGGGTTTGCCGGGGGAGGAGGAAGGGCTGACTCAAGGGGTGTGTGTGTGTGTGTGTGTGTGTGTGTGTGCGCGCGCGCGCACGCGCAAACCTTCATATTGTGCTCCCAACCCCAAGAAGGCATCAGCTGTCTCTGACAGAAGTCCTTGGGCTCACTATGCTGTGTCAGGTAGAAACCCTGAGCTTCCCTCCCCCAATCTGCTAGATAGAGAATGGGAGGGAGGATTAGGGGGCTCTGTGAACATGCCACAGTTTGGCCTCCCATGCTTTATAACATCCTATCATTTCTTGGGCTAGCCTCTGTCTTTTTCTTTCAGTCTTTGTATGTTGGAGTCTCTCTCTTTCAGTTGTGAGGACTGTGGTTTATGTGCTTATGCCACTTGGTCCTGAATGCCCTCATTTTTTCATTGAGGAGTGTCACCTTGAGGATGTCTCTAACTCGGGATTGGGCAGTAATTTTTGATGGCGTGGGGAGGGGGAGTACTCCAAGATTTTGGAAAGTGGTAGAGGGCCATACTCTTCCAGGATATTAATGGAGGAATTTTGGGGTCTGGGAGGAAGTTTGGGTGAAGAAGGCGGTTGTGACCTAGGGCAGGGGACTTGGATGCAGGATTTGGGATGTGACCTTGGGTAGGAGGAGATTGTGATCTGCAACAGGGAATTGGGGTACCAGATCTGGGACAGGGTATGGTTGCAGGAGAGGGCAGAAGGTTTGGGTTTGTGAAAGCGGAGAGGGGGTGGCAGACGGTTGGGGAAGAGAGGAGCTGAGGTGCCAGAGGCAGGCTTTGGCTGGGAGGTGCTCTCCTGCAGAAACCTGAGGCAGACTGTCTGCTGCAGGCTGCTCACTGCTTCACGTGGCTCTGCTCCGGGCATGACGGGAGGAGGCAGGGGGAAGGGAGTCGAGGAGAGAGGGAGAAAGCTTCCTATACTGCCCCTGCTTCCAGCAAAAGTTCTCGGCTCCTATTAGCCGGAAACTGAGAGATTGGCCAATGGGAGCTAAGAGATTTTGCTGGGGGGTGGGAATGGTGTAAGAAGTCTCCCTCCTTCCCTCCCTCAGCTGTTCAGAACTGAAAATAGCGGTTCCGGCGAGGCGGCCATGAAGCCGGTGGCTTGGTGGGCCAGATCCATCCCATTGGAAGCCTCTTGCCCACTTCTGCTCTAATTCACACATTTCTCACTTGGTCTTTCTTGCTTATACTACACAGCTATCTCCACATTTGCATTTCTGGGCAATAGATCATTTGTTTCACAGACTTCCCCTTGTCTCTTTCTAACAAATACTACAGCACTTATCTCTCCCCATTTAAGCCAGGTATTTATTATCCTTGCTTTGATTTCATCTTGTGTTTCTTCAGGTTCTAGGCCCCAGATACTTGAAATTTTTCATTTTCAGTATTAACTGCATGTCAGTTTACAAGGGTGATTCTTCATTGTTCACATTATTGAAATTGCATACCATATTCTTTTTCCTCTGTGTGTTTGAGGCCACATCTCTACAAAACATCTCTCTATTTATCAAAATGCAGGACAATATAGCACTTTAAAGACTAACAAGATGGTTTATTAGATGATGAGCTTTCGTGGGCCAGACCCACTTCCTCAGATCAAATAGTGGAAGAAAGTAGTCACAACCATATATACCAAAGGATACAATTAAAAAAAATGAACAAATATGAAAAGGACAAATCACATTGCAGAACAGAAGGGGGATGCGGGGGGGGTGGGAAGGGGGAGGAAGGAAGGTAAGTGTCTGTGAATTGCTGATATTAAAGGTAGGGAGAGTGGGATGTTTGTGAGTTTCTCTATTTATCAAGACCCTCGTGTGGACTATCTTTCTTCTTATTGTATAGAATGATATAATCTGCATTAAGCATGCACCAAGGTGTCTCCTATATGTTCCTTGTGAGGATATCGAGGATGATCTTAAATAAGGAAAGGGTCAATGCTGATCACTGACATGCTCTCTCTTGTACCAATACTTTGTCCATTTCACCACTAAGCGTTTTGACTGGTGACATTGTGTATACGTACATGGTTTGAACAAGCAGCACATACAGTTCTGACTTTGCTAGGACTTAGCACACCTTTAAAAAGGTGTTGGCACAAAACCAGGTAAGTAAGTTGGAGTATTGTGGCACTTGTTCTTTTACATTCTGAAACATAATATTCCAAAATAGCATTTGGTAGTGGATGTACCAAACTCATTAACTCAATGAGAACAGGGTTTGGCTTTTGCTTCAGTAGCAACAGAATAGTCTTTGGGTAGGTTGAAATAAACCAAGCCGAGGTAGTCTGGAACATAAATAATACAGTGTAAATCTGCATGTGAAAGTTACATTTTATTAAACAATAACAAATCTAATTGATTTAGTGACATTTTCTCTTTTAAGGGTAAAGCATGAAGTATTCAGTAGGGACCCAGGAACACTTGATATTGTTGTCATTTATGCTTGACCAGAGTGTGCCTGGATTTCGAGAGATGATTTGACTTTTTCATGTTCTTAGGCTATGATAGTATTTTAGATAATGTATTCTCAGTGAAAGATATTTCATGTTCATAACTTTAATAGGGTTTACTCAGGTAGGTCAGTAAAAACTTCATTGTACTATAAATACAGGGTATGTAAATCACTAAGCTAGTATGCTGACTATGTACATCACATACATCATTCTTCTGCTTAATAGGTGAGCAGGAGCTTTTGAATTATACTAAATCTAAGTCTTGTTCCCATTAGCTGATTACTTCCATCTTGCAAATCAAGTTCTTATGCAAAACTGGGGAAACAGGAGGTGTAGCATGTCTTTCCATTCTAGAAGCTTTAAAAATCCCAAATGACGGGTTGAATCTTGTAATACTTTTCCACTATAAAATGTTTTTACTCCTGGTTGCCCCTTCTCCCTGATCTAGATTCCTTTTGGTAGGATAGCCTTTCTAGGAGGTTAATTTGGCCTGTACTATGGATGCTGTGCTCAACTGTAGAGGCACAAAGAGGAACCATGTGCCATTTACGAATGTTCTCTTCTATTGCTATAGAACTCCTTCTTCCTTACTATTTGGCCTTGCTTCTTACTGAGCAATTTTCAGCATTGTGACACCAGTTAAACACATTTGCCAACAGTTTATAGCCATTGGATGACCAAAGACTTCCTCGTTCCTTAAATCCACCTCCGCACTATTTCTACTTTCTGGATCAGAAAAAAGAAGCTTCTTTTCCATTTGGGCTAGTGGTGATGATTGGTGATACTTGCATGATTACACAATAAGATGAAATTAAATGAATACTATCTTTAATAAAGAAAGGTTCTGAAGTTTTCTGATGAGAATTTCCATTTAATCTTCAAAGAGATCATGCTTTTTTTCTATGGAGCACCTTTTCTTCGTTTACATTTACAATATTGTTTTCCTCTACAACAAATGATGTAATAGCAGTACAGTCTGTAAACAGTATTTAATCTTAGACAACAAGGAATGATTTTTTCAAAACTTTTTGAAATATGTTTGTGAAGTTAGTTATTTTTAAGTGGGAAGCAAAAATGATAAAAAAAAATATTTCAAAATCATGTACTCAGAGTTGCAATTTGGGATTGATTTAAGAGTCTAGTACTTAAAATGTTCAGAACCTTCTGCCTTTTCAGGGGGTTTCCCTTATATGATGATTGAATCTTTGTGTTGAGAAATTTATTTTTCCTTTTATGCATCTAATGGGATGGCTGAAGTCCATTGAAGTGTAAAAGGTTAGTGCCATCCTTAACGTTATATAATTACATCTCCGTATTTGTGTGCAATGGTAGGCCTTGATGGATATGTTTAGCTTTGCCATTGGGAGTAGTCACAGTGGGACTTCCTGTGATAAATGCACAAGTGTTTGCAAAATCAGGACCTAAGTCTGGATGGAATTAGAAAGGATATACAATATTTCAGATGAATTGCATCTTGGATGACCCATTAACATAGCAGTAATATTGAATGAATAAACATCTATTCAGGATTGAAAAGAGTGATAGTATTTACAACAGATATTTTATTTTTCAGATGAAACCAGAAGTAGACCTTCATCCTGAAGAGGAAGGAGATGGTGAACTAGCATTATGGTCTCCTGAAGTGAAAGTCATTGAACTAGAAAAAGATTATAAAGGCTTAGGATTCAGCATTTTAGATTATCAGGTATGCTTTTCATTGTACAGATCAGTAAATACTGAAAAAAAACTCTGATCCTTTTCTTCTCTTGTTCTGTGCCTCAACATTTCCTGTAAATATTTTTGATTTGATTAAGTATTTATAAAATAGTACAGGGACATGGTATTTGGGGGACATTTTTGTTACTGTAAGGGCACATTTCTCTGTTACATTGGACAAACTATATAAGTTATACTGTAGAATATTGTTTTAACCCAGACTAATTACTGGATATTGTAAAGTACCGTTAATCATACTCTTATATCTAACTTTGTGTTTTAAGGCTATGGGTTCTCTGAATCACTGGGAATTACTTCATAAATAACTGAGTAGTGTGAAAGCATTCAGTTAAAATAAGTTTGTGATAAGCTTGCTAGTGGAGTGCCTTGTACAGGGGCTGTAAGACGCCACGGTAATAAAAATAAATAACCACCGTTGGTTCTTTAGGACCTTTTACAAAGGCCATTAAAGTCTTTGGGAAGATTCCTGTTATGATCAATAGACAAGGGCACAACTATTTATTTTCCAATTTAAGAGCTATTGATACAAAGTTTTAACACAGTTGACTTCGATGATGAGGTCATAACCAGAAGTGACAAATAGGGTCAGCATGTAAAACCCAAATTAACTTTTTTGCTAATAAAGCAATAATTTGCTTGTATTTAATATATTTCATAAGAAAAGGATATAGATATTAAATAATCGTGTCTCTTCATAGCTTTAAATTTTTAGACCAGCATACTTGGGATAAAGAATTTTTTTCATTATCTACTGTATATTTGAGATTGCCTGCCTGCCTGCCTGCCTGCCTGCCTGCCTGCCTGCCTGCCTGCCTGCCTGCCTGCCTGCCTGCCTGCCTGCCTGCCTGCCTGCCTGCCTGCCTGCCTGCCTGCCTGCCTGCCTGCCTGCCTGCCTGCCTGCCTGCCTGCCTGCCTGCCTGCCTGCCTGCCTGCCTGCCTGCCTGCCTGCCTGCCTGCCTGCCTGCCTGCCTGCCTGCCTGCCTGCCTGCCTGCCTGCCTGCCTGCCTGCCTGCCTGCCTGCCTGCCTGCCTGCCTGCCTGCCTGCCTGCCTGCCTGCCTGCCTGCCTGCCTGCCTGCCTGCCTGCCTGCCTGCCTGCCTGCCTGCCTGCCTGCCTGCCTGCCTGCCTGCCTGCCTGCCTGCCTGCCTGCCTGCCTGCCTGCCTGCCTGCCTGCCTGCCTGCCTGCCTGCCTGCCTGCCTGCCTGCCTGCCTGCCTGCCTGCCTGCCTGCCTGCCTGCCTGCCTGCCTGCCTGCCTGCCTGCCTGCCTGCCTGCCTGCCTGCCTGCCTGCCTGCCTGCCTGCCTGCCTGCCTGCCTGCCTGCCTGCCTGCCTGCCTGCCTGCCTGCCTGCCTGCCTGCCTGCCTGCCTGCCTGCCTGCCTGCCTGCCTGCCTGCCTGCCTGCCTGCCTGCCTGCCTGCCTGCCTGCCTGCCTGCCTGCCTGCCTGCCTGCCTGCCTGCCTGCCTGCCTGCCTGCCTGCCTGCCTGCCTGCCTGCCTGCCTGCCTGCCTGCCTGCCTGCCTGCCTGCCTGCCTGCCTGCCTGCCTGCCTGCCTGCCTGCCTGCCTGCCTGCCTGCCTGCCTGCCTGTCTGTCTGTCTGTGTGTTCAAGAACTCCTCCTAAATATTAAGAACTGGGATACAAAATTTGATATGTCACTTCCTCTTATAATAACTTAAAGCAAGGTAAGGGTTTGGTTGTGACAGGAAAATGGGATGTGCCTGGAATGAGAATGCTTCTCATAAAACCATACAGAAAAGAGACTCAATCACCAGATAGATGAAAGGGGCTGGCTGGGGATGCCCCTTCCTCTCCCATCTGGAACTGCCCCAGCCCTGAGCTTGCCTGCCCCCCACTTCAAGGTGCCCTTTAAGGAGAGAAAGACAGGCCAATTCATATGGGGACATTGCTGGCTGCCCCCCTTTGTCATGGAGTGAGGGTAAACTGCACAGTTTGCTGAATACCTTACTATGGCTGGGGAGCAAAGAGGGCAGATGAACCAGTCCCCCACCTGTGCCTGCTGGAGCTCCAGTGGCCATGGAGAGGTCCTTCTCACCTGGCTCCAAACAGCTGTGGTAAGAAAGGGCTGAGGTAGTCCTCTCTTCCCTGGGGCAGCCTGCATACTGAATCACTCATCCCCAACCCCACCCCAGAGCAATGATTTAAATGAAGAACAACAAAAATTCATCAGTAAAGAATTTGGCCTTAAATAACTATATAGAAAATAGAATTTTGAGGTCAGGATGAAGTTTCTAATGTTACCCATCACTGTGGTATTTTAAAACCTTTATGTACCACATTCATAAGAATTAAAATTGCTGGATTGCTCTTCATAATAACATTGTGGCTGAAGGGAAAAAAAGTAGTCTATCATTGCACATAAATGTCAAGTGATATAAAAATCAATTACGTTTTTATACTGTAAGACATGAATCAGGAACATATTAAAATACAAATACTTGGAGTATTATGTAAAACCTTTAATTCCATATTGTGCTAGTACGATTGAAGATTACTGAATATAGATCCTGTTAGTCATTGTTGCTGATACATGTTGTGTTGCAGTGCCAGCTTTTCAGTAGAGTCCCTAGGACTCTACAAAGCAGCCATATGCAGATTTACTTTTAAGTTCTTATATAATAAGAATGAATGAAGGCTTAATAACAGGCTTTTTATTTACTTATTCACAAATGTAAATATATTAGTAATGTTGGGATCCTTTCAGATTTAAATACTTTCAGATCAATATTAAATAAACAGTAATCTCAGCACTTTATCATTCTAAGATATATTGTGCTAATTTTATCTTCGGGATTACCTTGTATATTTGTGTTTCTCTTCCCAGTACATGAGGAGTTCAGTCTTTGAGAGGGGTGTATGTAAATACCCAAAGCACTTTCTGCAGCTTCATTGCAAAACAATTAGTAGTCCTCAGGTGTGGGAAGAAGTGGGTTGAATTTGCCAATTGGAAAACTACTCAAAAATTTTGTACGGGGTGCTTTTGGAAAGTACAGATGACAAGTGCACAACACACAACTGAAAATCAATGGAAACTGATTTTCTGCCTTTAAACTTCCCACTTATAAGTTAATACAGCTTTATAAATGTCAGTGTCTGTCCAGCCTGGTGGTGGGCAATAATTAGGTGCAGGCTGGATGCAGTTTGCCAGGGTTAGCGCTGCCACTGTATTTATCTGCGCCTCTGCAGGTACGGGTGTGTGCAGCTCCCTTTGGCCGCAGATCGCCTTTTCCAGCAAATGGGAGCTGTGGAAAGCAGTGTCCTGTTCCGTGCCACTGCCCACCGCTCCTATTGGCCAGGAACAGCATCCGTGGCCAAAGGCAACTGCATGCACCTGGAACTACGATAAAGCAGATAAATACAGGAGGCGGCCTACCAAGGGCTGACCCTGGCCAACTGCCACTTCAGATATATCTGTTGTGTTCCTGGCATACACATGGAGAAGCTTAAGAACACAAAATACTCTCATTGAAATGATGTAACCTAACACTATTTCTTAGAATTACAGAGTAATTACACGTGAGAAATCCAAAAACCGAGAGAAAGCAAGCTACAACACAGAGACTATTGAAAGATCCTGATTGAATGCTTCCCTACAGAGCCTCCTGACCTGCAAGCAGGAGCAAGAAAACCGCATGCTATCTGAGGGTATGTCTACACTACCCTCCTAGTTCGAACTAGGAGGGTAGTGTAGACATACCCTAAGGGTAATGTATGCATACCGCACTTGCTAATGAAGCCCGGGATTTGAATTTCCCGGGCTTCATTAGCATAAGCGGGGAGCCGCCATTTTTAAATCCCCGCTGCTTCGAACCCCGTGTAGCGCGGCTACACGGGGCTCGAACTAGGTAGTTTGGACTAGGGGGCCTATTCCGAACTACCGGTACTCCTCGTTTCACATACCCTAATATAATTGTGAGGGGGTTTGCCTATATGGCAACGAAAAACCTGCAGCTGGCCTATTCCAACTGACTCAGGCTCACAGGGCTGTATAAACTTCTGGGCTTGACTTGGAGCCCAGACTCTTGAACCCAGCAGGGTGGGAATCTACAGAGCAATGAGTCAGCCCCTTTGAGTGTAGCAAGCCTAGAGTTGGCAGGTTTTTCTTGTCTGTGTAGACAAACCCTCAGTGTTCTCATTAGCAAAATAATTGTTTAACCCTTCATTGAATCCTATTACACTGACACACAACATATATTTCAGGACAAGGGTTTAAGTTTTCAAGTACTTCAGATACAAGCCCATTTGTGCGTCTAAAAAGCAGTACTGATAAAAACTCTTAGCGATGGAGAATAGGAATTGAGTACCGAGAGAGTGAAATTATTACTCTGTTATATTAATTTTTAATGGACTATCCTTCTCATGATGTTACAGCTGTAAAATAAATAAGCATATCCTAAGTGATCTAAAGGATATTCCGAGAAATGTATAAACGTAGCATCAGCTAATTTATCCTTAACTTGCATAACTTTAAATACAAATCAACTATACTGAATAAGAGTGACCTTAATATTTCTACCTCTTTCCTACATTTTGGGGTTTTTTTTCCCCTTTTTTTAATGTTTAGTAACTAAACACGTCAAATTTTCAGTTATTTTCATGAGGCGCTTGTAAATAGAAATATGTTACTGAAGCATATGGTATCACAACACAAAGAGCGGGGTGGCATGTACAGAAGTTTTATCTGTGGATTTTAAGCTTGGGATTTTCAGCTTTGCATGGTCATTTAAATGTAATAGATCTGTTCGCATTCACCAGAGCTACTAAATTCCATTTTGAAAAGTTTGTAAAACTACTAACTTGAACCTTGCAGATGAGATGCTATTATGTAGAAACAGGTGATCTCATGGTCATGTCCCTAAAATGGAGTATTGATTTTAAATAACAGCCTCCCACTCAATGTTTGGGTGATTAAAATGAATAATAGTGATATTATTAATACAACAATGATATTA